TAGTACCGGAGAGCAAATTTACAACGAAATCGTTTACCCACTTGTTGAAGTTTGTTTTTTATGTTTACTATTGTTTTTGAAATAATTCCAAAGCCTATTTAACAAAGAACATTGATTTGCGTGCTTGGTAAATGTTTGCAGAATGTTTACATCTTTAATCATCGTCATCCTACATCTGTTTACAGAATGTAATCGAGGGTTATAATGGTACTGTGTTTGCATATGGACAAACGGGAGCTGGGAAAACTTTCTCTATGCAGGTACTTATAGAAAGATTTGATCAATATTGCTAATTGTTTATTAAAAAAATTTCAGTCTGGCTGTGGAGAAGCGGTAAGAATTAGAAAACAAAGCACGAACAAGATTAGCATGAATGAAACAAAGTGCACAGGATGCAGTAAACTCAATTTTGAACACAATAACGCAATCACATTCACGAGCTAGCCACAACTAACCTCAATACGAAAAGAATAAAATAAATCTATAAGATGAAAAGAATTCTTTAGGGAGTAATGGAGGTGGCCGCTCAAAGAGGAATCATTCCCCGTGCATTCGAACATATCTTTCTTGCAACTGCTACAACACCGGACACAAAATTTCTCGTCCATTGTTCTTACTTGGAGGTGATTCTCAAATAAAACTCATTATTATGTAAGAGTCACAAATAACGAACAGTTATTATAAAGGATAATCTTTTAGATATACAATGAAGAAGTCCGAGATCTACTTGGTGATGTGAGAGATCAAAAGCTCGATATAAAAGTAAGTTAATCACGAGTTATTCTGATTGTGATTTAAATGCTGTTAACAATTTTTGACTTTTTAGGAACATTCTGAGCGAGGTGTTTATGTAGCGGGTCTCTCAATGCACGTGTGTCACAATGTGAATGATTGTCAAGATCTCATGAATAAAGGCTTTGCGAATCGACATGTTGGATCAACAAATATGAATGCTGTGAGTTGCATTGATATCAATTGATAAAGTTAATTCTTTTCAGGTTTCTTCAAGATCCCATTCAATTTTCACCGTTTATGTCGAGGCTTTAAATGAGCAGGGAACAATAAGAATGGGAAAATTGCACTTAGTTGATTTGGCTGGAAGTGAACGACAAAGCAAAACGGGTAACTGTTGCAATTACTCATTGAATTCACGACCTTAAAATAAAGGAGCATACTGTAGTGTGATGAAAAATTGGGAAAAAGAATACGATACCTTTAGGTGCTGTGGGAGATCGTTTCAAAGAGGCCACAAAAATTAATCTTTCTCTATCGGCTCTTGGAAATGTCATCTCAGCTCTTGTTGATGGAAAGAGTAAACATATTCCATACAGAGACTCAAAGCTCACTCGATTATTACAGGTAAACAATTGAATATAAGTTTGGCCATAAAATCCTTTAGGATTCACTCGGTGGAAACACAAAAACGATCATGATCGCTTGTATCTCTCCATCAGATGATAACTATGATGAGACTCTATCAACCCTTAGGTTTTGTGTCTTGACTAATAGATAGTTTATTTCATTTCAGATATGCGAATCGTGCAAAGAATATCAAAAACAAACCTAAAATCAATGAGGATCCAAAAGATGCATTATTGAGAGAATATCAAGAAGAAATTGAACGATTGAAGGGAATGCTTGGTGGTGGAAGTGGAGGTGGAGGTGGAGGAGCTGGGATACCGGGTATGTTCTTAGGAATTCTAAAGTCATCAATAAGATCATCTAAAATGGCCCTTGATCATTTCAGCAATCTCAAACTTCGATGTGGACGCAGAACGGGAGAAACTGCGAGCTGAGTTTGAAGAGGCGATGAATGAATTGAGGTCGGCACTTCTATCACCCATCATATTGAAGAATTTTCATTTTTACAGAGCTGCCTATCAAAGTGAACAATTGAGTAAGCAAAAAGTCGAAGAGGATCTTCAAGAATTGAAAAGACAATATGAATCGGTGAGAATCAAAGCAGATTTCTAAAAACTAGAAACTGATTCAGGCGAATGCTGAAATCGATGCAATGTCCAAAGCGGGATTAGATCCAAGTGAAGCAAAGAAAAGATTAGAATTGATTCAACAACAATTGGTAGAAATGGACTGAGATCTTTATTCAGTTATTGGCATTCTAGGTTGGAGGAGAGCAAGCAAATAATGAAGATTTGAAGAAAGGGAGAATGAAGAAATTGAAAGATGCTGAAACGAAAACACAAAGATTGGCTGGTAAGATTGGCGATTTCTCAAAATTAAAACATTTTCAGCATCGAAAAGTCGAACAGCTATATTGAAATGTTTAATTGTGCACATTTCTCTTAAATTTAGCTGCTCTGAATGTTCACAAAGATGATCCTCTCCTGCACGTTTATAGTTCAACACAAGAGAAGCTTGATGCGGTCACCGCTCAATATCAGAAAGAACAGAGAAAGGTCTGATAGAAAATTTATTGTTGCTTTTTTGAGTTAACAGTTGTACTCTGTGCTTCTTCTTTAAATTTAAAAACACCATTTCAGGCGGATTCTGGGACATTTGATAAGCGCCCCGCCTCCTTTGCTATTGACAATCCAACTTTAAGCTCAAATATCTTGGTGTTGGGCTATCTAATTTAAATAGTTTTTGTACTAATCGACGGAGAAAGACTTGGCGCATTCAATGATACCAAGAATATTTAAATTGCGCAGCTCAACACGAAGATATTTGAGCTCAAAGTTAGATTGCCAATGGCAAAAGGGGCGGGGCGCGTATCAAATGTCCGATAACCTTCCTGGCGTCACTTAAACGTGTCACTTTCCTTTCGCAATAACATAAAATTTAAGGTGAAAGCCTTGGAAAGCGAGATCGAGGATCTACAAGGAGAATTCGAATTGGATCGATTGGATTACCTAGAAACAATACGGTGACTCTCTAATTGAGTTTTTAACAAAACAACTCTAGGAAACAAGATCAACAAATCAAACTCCTTGCTCAACTTCTCGACAAAATCCATCCATTAATCAAAAAGGTTTTTGGATCTTTTTTTCACTTTGATTTCTTTCCTCAGCATCATTTTTTTCACCTTTCACTCCAAGAATCTCAAAACCACATGGCAACCAAATATCGAAAGAATCTCTATGCAAAGAAAGTGATAATTGGACAGAGGAATTTGTTCCCCCAAAATTGGGGAGACCACATAAATCCCTCATTTCATTCGTAAAAACGCATTGATTTTCCCTCTTTCTTCTTTTTCTTATCAGATTGTTTTCTAGATACTCTTTCTAATCAGAACTGATTACCGTAATAACTTTAATTCCATAGTAATGTAGCTTATTAATCATTATTATTTAGTTCTTCTTATTACTCTCACTCCCAGAAAATCATCTTATAGCTTGAAATCTCAACTCTAACCCAAGACTTTCAAAGGCTTACTTTTAAAATTCAAGGATTGCAACTACTACAACCTGGAGAAAGTCAAGAAAGAAGCAATATGGAATGCCGATGAGGGAAAGTTCGTTTCTGCACTTTATTTCTCAACCTAGAAAAGAATTATTTGAAAATTCAATCCTAGATGGGTTCTCCCTGAAATGTCAATTTCGAAAACCACTCTACCAAATGCTACAAATGGCAATGGTAAGTCCGCAAATGCCTTTCAATACTTGAAAAGCCTAATATGTAGTAGCGTGTTAATACGTATACAACATACTGTGTTAATAGATTTTGTTTTATAATACGGCTAATTCCTAAAGTCCAGGCCATTCTAGGTTTGATCAATGGTAATCGAAGTGAGCCAGCCTCGAGAGCCGTTGCTGATTATCACAATGAAGATGAAAGTAAATTGAGAAGGGTAAATAAATTACTCAAAAGAAATGCCGAACTCAGGAACTTTCAGCGTTTGGCTAAAAGTGAAGAGGAGAACCTCGCAAATAGCTATTTCAAGACATTCAACAAATCAAACGTTGTCAATAAGTATAAAGGAGATATGCAAAGAAAAATTGGTTAGTTTACATTTAATTTCTACAACCTGAGAACCAAAAGAAAATTTAGATGCTAAATCGTATTTCCCAAAGCGATTTCATAATGTGAAAGAGGGTCTTTTGACTGGAGTGATCTACACAGATGATGTCTATGGAAGATCGGGAAGTGCAGGAAAAAGACCGACTAGACTTGAAGCAATCAAATGATTTTGCTTTGCATTACCGGTTTCCTTTCTATCGAACTTTTTTTCACCCTTTCTCTCTTATTTGAAAGCAAATTAGTAGACCGGTTATTTTAAATAAAAAACTATATTTTCTAGTCACTATTTTTCCGGTAAGCAATAGTAAACTACCACAGTCCATTTGCTTGTTCTTACTCGACTCACGCGGGCTTGATTTTATGCATATCAATCACCGTGATCCATCAATTCCTTCGCAACCCGGTTACTTTCGACGTGGTATTCTTCTTTTCTATTAAACATGTGCTAAACTCAATAATCGGAAGAAAATGTTCATTATTCTAAATTAGCATCAATAAATCGATAACAAAATTCGATACAAACCACCATCAAAAAACGCTAATCAGAAAGAACTAAAATGACAAGTAATCATGAGGAATTTAAGATTCGAAAAACACATTTGGACATAGCTACACAAATAACCAAATGTGTTTGTATAGCTTAGAATATATCACAGAACAATCTTTGAATAGTCATTAACAAAGACTGAAAAAGTAGATAAAACAATCGAAAAGAATGAATAAATTTAGAAGCTACATTTTTTCTTTACGTCAAATAGTTTGGCGATTCTGTTTCAAAAATATTTGACACAAGGAGGAAGTAAACTTATGCTGCAAGAAATATTAGGAATTTCATTGTGAGCAAAGTCGTATCACCAAGTAAAATAGGTACTTTGGAGAGAACGTAGACTTGAAACAAAAAAATGGGCATAGTTGTGAAACTTGACATAGAACCATACCAAGCAAAAAAAGCACTAAGCCATAATAAAAAGTACCTACCTGTAAATGGCATTTCATTTTCATCGTTTAGAATATCCCGACTAGTGTTGATAAATTTGCTTCAATCGATCACAAGCATCCAGCGTCATTCTTTCAGCCCGTTTCAACAGATCGATGTCTTGATATATCCTCGCACGATAAATCATTGTATCCCCTAAAAGTAACTACCATATAAAAGGTCTGCAACTTATTTTCGTAAAACAATACGTAAACGAAAGATCTTTTGCAACAAAAACGACCAAACTCACTTTGATTTTGTTCCTTGTAGCATTGCATTCGTAATTGTTGTATGTATTCATCCTCTACTTGTTGTTCAACCTAAAATTTATTATGCAAGGCCAAAATTGACTGGCACTTACTCGTTTTAATTGACTTTTGTAATTCTGCAAGAAATCGGATTTGACGAAATAGGGCACATGAAGTTCCGGAGTCTCTCGACGAATATTGTACTTCCTAAAGGGCAATGATGCTATTACAGAAAAATAGAATAGCCATAAAAAATTCTAAAATAAAGTTTTACCCTTGTTGGTGAAGGGAAAAGGCGGGTTCAGACACCATAAATTGAGCGACGAGTCCAAGAATAAGCATGGCAATCAGTGGAAACAATTGCAAAAGTGGAGAGTAGGCTTGCTAAATTAAAACGCTGCAAAAGAACCTTTACGAAATAGTTACTTGTTCATGCGCATGTTCATGACGGTGTTGCTGTTGATGAAAATGAGCTCGACGCCTCAAAAACTCAGTTAACTGTAACAATTTTAAAAATACCGATGAATTTGTTCTCCAGGAAACCCTCCACCGAAAAACATATTGAAGATCTCCTCGGCAGAGAAGTCGGCTATAAATTACATTTTTCCAAGCACTTAGACAGAACCTTACATTCAAAACCGCGATTGTAATCATATTCAAAGTAGTCGCTATGCCCACGACGTCTACTAAAAATGTAAAATTCAAAACCGTCAATCTGAAAGCTTACGGGCTGGGCGAAGCGCTGCCATAAGTGTCATATTGATCTCGCTTATCTTTGTTTGAAAGAACAGCATACGCATTTCCAAGTGCTAAAATTTATGATATAAATAATTTAGCTATGTTGCAACTTTAGTTGCCTGTAAAACGCACCCTTGAAAGCTTCAGTTGCATGTGGAGCATGACATTTATCTGGATGTAGTTGCAAAGCTAATTTTCTAAAATAAAGACTTTTAAGGAACAATGTTATACTTATTATCATACCTGTATTCCTTTTTAATGTCTTCATCACTGGCGGTCTTTTGAACATTCAGTATTTCGTAGTAATCCTTGCAGCGACGAATACGGGATACAAGGTCAACTTGTTTCTGAAAGAACAATACCGTAATTCAGGATAAATTTGTATTTTTCAAGCCTTTCATTAAAACTATATCCCGCATTGTTTATCAGTAAAACTAGCTTACTTGAGTATATTCAACTCCAAGCCTTGGAGCACTTCTTGATCGAGACTTGGCTCGCGAGCCCGATGCTCCTCCATTTGCTTGAAGATTTGGAGCCGATGGAACTTAAAATTCATGTTATTTAATTGTCCAGACCACATAATATGCTAATAAAGTACTATTTAAAGCCAATTTCAGACATTAACTAACCATGCATGCTGTGACGTGCTCGCCGACTTCGCAATTCTGTATCCTCGTAGTGGTCATCATGAGCATATGACCTAGACAGCATATTATCTAAAATAATTTTATGGAACTTTTACCTATCTGCAGGTTCATTTTCTTGGCTTGACGATTGATGCTGTGAAGTCAGCGTTTCGGCTTTGCGCAGAAGAACTAAAAACATACATCTCGTTGAAGTCTATCGATAAAATAAGCGTACAAGTTATATCCTGGTCAGGGTTGAGTTTTTTAGCCTTTTTTAACATCCGGATCGCCTTCTCCGCATCACCAACCTAAAAGTGGCTTTTGATGAATATTCTTTAAACGGTGATAATAAACGATGTGCTACTTACCTTCAATGCGTCTCTCGCTCGATCCATACATACTTGCGCCTCCGATTTGTTTGCATCGGCAGTCATCTAAATAGGTAGTTTTATTATAGAAAAAAACTTGAACCCAACCTTATCTTAATTTCTTGAAAATCTGTTCCTGTTTCATACAAAGCTGCGCAAGATACAAGCCGCTACCTAAATTTTGAATAAAAAGAGCAAGTTCTTCAACCCAAAGATCATTTCATTTAGAAATTTAGGAATTAGACCGAAAAACGGTTCAGATTAGTAAAGGGCCCTAATTGTAAGGAACGTAATTGTGCAGAGTTCATTCAATAAGATGAGTGAAACAAAGAACGACGTGGTCCTATGTCGAAACGAGAGCTTGTCGTGAGCGCATAATAGCGAACACAGAGTTGAGCTACAAAAAGAATAGTTTCACGACAACAAAAAATCAGTGAAAAACGGTCTTTATATTTCTCTTCAGAAAAGAACTTGAATAGATCATAATGCACCCTTTCCGATAGCAATTTCGCAGCCAAATAATTAATATTTTATTCAACAAAAACGTATAAACCAAATCTATCTAAAAGAAGAAACCAAGAATTTTTCCTCCCAAATGCTTTTTCCTTGCTTCCTCATGATCCATGATGCCACCTGAAGTTGTCAGAACAACGTATCCAAATTGTCGGGATGGGAGGAGATCGTTGGTGTACCTGAACATAACTGAATTGTTCTTGTTCAATAAATAAAGTATAGTGCTCATTTGATTGAATATATAACAGATGGCGAAAACACCTAACGAAAGCTGAAAACCAAAACTAACGTGTCCAGATCTTTCAATTGAACATCGAATCGTGGTGAAATGACAGCGCATTTGTTAATTCTTCCGTTCAAGTTGACAACAATTTTCCCTGCTCGATGGTCATCAACAATCTCGAACTCTCCGATGTAACCGTGCTTCATCATTACTGTCAAGAATCGGACGATAACCTAAAAGTAATATATTGAAACACAATATGAGAATCTATCCCTTAAAGAAAATTCTTATAGCCCAAATACATAAATGACGATGACGATTCCATTCATTGAAAAGGCCCTAGCACTAACAACTTTCAAAGAGTTTTAACCACTAAAATCAATTAAAAAAATGCCTTAGAAACTTTTTCTTGATAGATTTTTAACAACTAAAAAGTCTTGTTTAGCAAAGAAGTAAGGTTGGTCGCGAATACCACCACTTTAACTTGCATTACATATTCATTTATCTATCAAAGCTCCAATTCTTTTTTCAAAATAGTCACTAGAAGAAACGTATCAAATTAATAATTAGACAGAAAGGTTACCTTTGAAGCTGGTCTGATGAGCACTTGCCGTTTTCCTCTCTTTTCTGCATTGTTCATACTTCGTAGAGCATCGGCCAGCACATTCATTCGCACCATCTTTGCGTTTTACCTAAAAAATAATAATTAAAACAGTGCAATCCATTGAAATAACTGCAACAGAAAAAAGACCAAGTATTAATATGGAAGGCTTTATTATACTCCGCGTTCGTATCATGGGGATTTGGCTGCCATAAAAAACTGTGACGTATGTTCAAAGATTAGTCAGGTTAGAAATTATTACAGTTAACGTAAAAAAAGCTATCGAGAAGGAAAATTTATGGCAAGAAAAGTTGGGGATGGAAAAATGAGAGAATGATCAAAAAAAATTTCTAGCTCCCTTATTTATATCTAAAAGGTACAGACACTTTGTACTTTTTACTTTTTTTTGTACAGTACTTTTTAGTTTTTAGATGCCCTTTAAAGAAAAATTAACTCCAAGAGACTTTTAAAGCACCCTGTTGAGCAGTGTAATTGTGTGTTGACTCGTAACTGTTTCTGAGGGAGTGGGACAAATGCGACCTTTTTTTGCGCACCCGGACATTTGCGCACCTTTTTTTCCGCACCCAGCCCATTAGCGCACCTTTTTTCGCGTTTTAAAAAACCTCTAAAAGCTAATATTAACCAATTTCTATTCCAAAAGTTGTTTTTCTAGGTAATTTGAGGGCGTAGAATTCAAATTTTGACATATCAGGGCTTGTGGAAACAAACGGACGGAGTTATACAAAGAGAAAAATCGACGATTTTCTGTAATTTGATCTAGCCGTTTTGTCTTTCAAATTGGTTCCACACGCTCTGTTATGTCAAAATTTGAATTCGACACCCTCAAATTACCTAGAAAAACAACATTTGGAATAGAAATTGGTTAATATTAGCTTTTTAGAGTTTTTTTAAAACGCGAAAAAAGGTGCGCTAATGAGCAAGGTGCGGAAAAAAGGTGCGCCTATGTCCGGGTGCGCAAAAAAAAGGTCGCATTTGTCCCACTCCCGTTTCTGATAATTGGCAAGATTTGTGTATACTCGTGTATTTAAAAAGTTATCCAATCAAGGGATAGATTTATTTGTAGAATTGAATGTCATTCAATGCGAAGTGTTATTATTCGGTCCTTGCATGACGATGAGGGCCATACTGCCTAAAATTGAATCAGTTATATACAAATTATCCTAAACACTTAACTTGTGTTCCCTAGGTGTTAGGTTTAGACTTACAACATGCATTGAACAGGCGAAAAGAAACAATTTCGATCATATCCACCACCTCTTCGATATCTGATCGATCTTTTCGTGTTTTGTTGATACGTTGGTCTCACGGGGAAACGATCGAATCTGACAATTGTGTTTCATTTTAAGAAGTTCGAACAATTCTTTCAGACTGTATGTATATGTACCTGTGAGCTGGCAAAAATCTCCGCTCCGCAGCTAGAGTTTCAAGTTGACATCCAAAAATAAACACACAAATGCTTAACAGCCAGTAAAGCATCACGAGTGAATAGCTTGAGTTGAGAGTAAATGAATGAAATGCAAAATATCACAGACACAGCTTCAAAGTAAGTTGAATGGTTTTTGCGTGGGCTAACTTTTTCTCGGAAACACTCAAAGAATGAGTTAAAATTTCTCAAAAGGAAATAGAGGAAATGAGTGTCTTTCCTTGTCTTCTCTTATCCGATACCCTCATCTTTGTCTTGAAAGACCAAGAAGCACAAATTAACTCCAACGTTTTCTTTCTAGGGAATTGTTTACCATAATTAAAAAAGTTCAACCATTGACACTTCTTGTTAGAACCTTGTGAAAAAGTTGATAGAATCAATCCTGAATTGATAGTATAGCTTGGTGTCAGGTGTTCTTTCAGGCACATTAATATTTATCAGGAGAATTTTCTCTCGAATCATCATCTTCTTCTAGTTCATTTTGTGCCAAAGTCTTATCGATTATCTCGGCCAATCGTCCCAAAGCTACTCCATCATGGATCTAAATGTTTTTGAATTTCCTTTCGTTCTCCACAAACCTCTGTAAAATATAATCTTCCCAAAGTTAAAAGGTTTTTCGCCATCGCAGCTCGAGTTTTTCGATGGCTTTCCAGAACTCTGAAAGGAAAATTATAATAGAAATTTCGTACACTGTTTATTATATGTTGATATGATTGTATTTGTAATACCTATTGTGGAGGAAAATGTAAATTTCCACGAAAAACACCACAGTCGAGATGGCGATTCCAATGGCACCGAGAGTGAAAATCCCGACTGTAGAAGCCATATCTGAAAGTTGAACAAAAATTATACTTAGCTATCTTAGCATTAAATGTTTTTAAGCATTTTTTTCATTTTTTATACTAACTTAAGGGTTTAGAGACGATCTCTGGATTTGAAGTATCCACAATTTGCGTGCACTTCGGAATGTTCCCAATTTTATAACCTTCTCGAAAGTATTTGCTAAACAACCAATTTCTTAAGATAACAGGAATAATCCTAACCTGAAAGTATGTTGAATCATATCACTGTTCATAATGATTGCTGTATTCATCGATTTCAAGAACCGGCTCTTGTTTTGGAAGACAAAATATGAACCGACTTGAGGTAAACCTGTAGTTTTTTTGAATACACCTTGTTTTTTCATCTCTTACCATCACTAACATAAACAAGATTGCACCGTTCTTTGCTCATTTGCATAGCCAAACTGTCTTCTTGAATTGGATAAACATATGGACCTAGATTCGAGGGTTTCAACCAGAGTATCACAAATTAAAACTCACCTGATTCAACCATATCCAAAGCGTCGGAAACACTTTTTGCTAAAACAACTGGATTATTTGCGGTGGCAGCTCTTAATGATACAAAATGAGGATCATTCGAGTTCACCAAATCATCAAAATACCTGAAATCGATTGGAATGCTTTTTCTTTCAAAATTCCCCACCAGTTTCCCATATAATTTGTGACAAGATGGTATTGTCCCTTACCGATCAATTGAATTAATCCATCAGCATTTCTCAAGTTTGGGTTCTTTGAAATGAAAAAGGTTTTCAATTTACTTGAAAGGGTTTGTGCTTGGTGGAGCAAGGAGAGCCGACAAGAGGAGACCTTCATAGAGTTTGATGAGAAAACCGGACTGAAAACGGAGTGGGTTCAGCTAGAAAAGGAAGGGCAATATACTGTCTTACATAAATTCCTCAAATCTCTAAGCTTTATTTTACTGTACCATACATTTTTCTTCATAAATCTCACCTGAAGAAGGGCACAGAAAAACATGACGATATTCCCAGCGATCGTGAAGAAGTTCATGTCTTCACTGTGTTCATCCAATTGTAATTGAATGCATTGCCAGAAAACCTAGAACAGTTTTTTTTGTTTTTCGATGTAAGAATTCACCTCAAATGGTCGAAATCGTTTCCTCATTCCTAAATCTTTTTCGACACGAGAAATCCCAATCAGCACCAATACTTGCGTGATAAATGAGCCCACTATGACCAACCATGTCACAGTAGAATATGGCTAAAATGAAAAGAATAATGGTATAAGTGGTGATCAAACTTTGAAAGCATTCCATAAAATTGAGCCGATATCTTGAGTCTTTTCACGAACGACATAGATTGGTTGCACCTGGAAGCTGAGAAATCGAAATGAGATCGATTTTGTCATTTGTATTGTCGAATTAACCAAAACCAAATCCAGCTTCTAATAAATTTTATGTAAAAGGTTTACATTTGTAAGCGGATACGAAAAATCAAAGTATTGATCTCGAAGATCGGTTCTCTGATACATCAAACAAGCCACATCGGCCGTATCATTGGCCAGCATTCCCAGCACGCCAACCCAAGTATCGTTTGACTAAAGAGAAAGCATAGTTAATACTATTGATATTTGACAATAAACATCATATTTTATTTCATGAACTTACTAATCGAGTTCCCCAATCGAGACTTCCAACGATATTTTGTGACAAAACAGGCTCAACATCGTAGCCCGCATAAGCGGCAATCTGTCCCATCATCTACAAAAAAACTCTTTATATTCAAATCTACTATATAAAAGGGCAGTGTCTGTCCTTCCGTCCATCTCTACGGGCTTCAAAATATACAGCTAGAGAAACCCGCCGTTTCGGCTGGTCTCAAATATTTACAGTACCATTCGTTTTATCTCCAAATTGTTCCAAATCTCCACATTTGTTTTAAGGTAACATAAAGTACTATCACTTGATTATTGGATAAAGCTTTCTCTACTTCTAAAGTATATCCAGGAAATGGACAAGCCAAATTCGGTTGAAGTTGTGGAAAACGAAGACAATTCGCGAATGCATCTGGTGGATTTCTCGCGTAGACCACTCGAATTTTCTGCTAAAGGTAGCAAAATAGTTTTTGTTTAAAATATGAATTAGAATTAGAAACTATGCCTCTCTTGTTAATTTAATTCTAAACAAACCTTTCCCAGATGAACATCTTGGAACCTACAGTCTTTGAGTAGCAAAATTAGAGTTGCTACAGTAAGCAATCTCATCTTCTGAAAAACTTTATCAACTTAAAAATTCACCAAACTTAATATTTACTTTTCAAATCCGCTTCCAATCCGAGATTTTAAAATATCGGATTTCATTTTGTGGTAACAGGTGTCTCGTTTTTCATGATCCCATCAAAATTTTGGTTAAGAATGAGAAAAGAGTCAATTTTTTTTGCGGTTTCCTTGCTTTTGAGTGATTTTTGGGTACAAGAGGTTTTCCTTGAGAGTTCTTTCATTGCGAACACTCTATTGTTTCTGCATTCACTTCAAAGAGCAGCTACTTGAAAGACAATCATGTGAAGTCAACTGGAAACTCAAAGTCAACTGGAAAGTCTTTCTAGAAGTTAAGATTCAATTTGAATCAAGGGATTTGAGCATTTGAAAGTTTTCTTTTCCTGCTAAACTAACTAGACTATTTCTTGAATTTCCGTTGCTTTGCTTGCTTCAACGTCACCAACCAGCCTCTCTACAAATAGAAGAATCTCCGTACTTTGGCCTCTCCTCATCGTGCACATAGATATCCAGTGCATAATCAGCGTCTCATCTTGCCGGGAGAATTCCCACGTCTCTTCCTCTTTCTTCTTGTTGTGCCCTAGGGGTGACGATGGGGGGACCATCTCTTCCATAGAGAAGGGGCTGTATCTCCGCTTTCCTATATCCGACCTCGATTCCTGTGTATCCTTTTGTCTTCTCTTCTCTTTTTGTTCTCTTCATTGGTGGGATCTCCGAAGTCTGAAAAGCCCCAAGGGAGAGGTTTTTCCTGCCCCCTTCCTCCCCTTCCTCCCCTTCCTCCCCGTCGTGATCCTCTCTTTCTTCTCCTCTTCTCTCCTTTTCTTTTCCCACTTCCAGGATCCCCGTCCTTTTCTCCCGTTGGGCCAAACGCTTCTCTGTGGTGGCTGTGGCATGACTTTTTCTGCTCAGGTCGCCCGTCCACATCGTTATTCCTCGATTATTTGATTGTCGTGCAAACACATGGAAGCAATTGGGCCCAATAACAATTTTTCTGTTTTCAGTTTTAACCAAATAGAATAGTTTTGATTTTACTGACACTGGCAGTCAACTTTCAGTGTCTTCCTTGTCTATACTTTATTTTCTTAATACTTAAAGATTTTCCTTTCTGTAATGTTCATCTTGAACATATTCGAAGCTTTGTGCTCGTTCAAGCATTTAATGAAATTGTCCACATTTCTCCATTTCTTCTTTGATGTTGCCACAGTAACTAATGAAAAGTAAGGCGATAAAGAGCGATTTGCAATATTTCGAGAGTAAATGTAAAGTAAAAAAAGTTAACTTACGAGAAAAAAATCTTAATCCCTTTTTTCAGTCACCCAATCATCAATAACTAGGTGATAGATTATTTGATTTTAACAACTTCATAAATCTTTCATTATTCAATGATTGATTCATTCTCATTATCTTTCAATATTTTTCCTTCAACTAAAGCAACTTTCTTTTCTTCTCAAACATCTTTAGAAGAAACATTTATTCTCACAAATGCCTTCATATTGAAGACGAAATCCCATCGATAATCCCTCTCATTATTCATTGCACCCAGTCATCTCTATCGCTTTTGGATTAGAGTTTTACTTGGAAAAATGTTTTTTTCAAGTTCTCTTAAAGATCGTTACTTTTTTTTTTGCAATATTTTCCTTTGTTATAAATTGTATTTTAGAATGCGCGGGTTTCCATATTTTGTCGTGTTGCTACTCCGATTTTCCCAGATTGAAGGTACATTTTCAGAGAATATAGAAAACTAGTAAAGTTAATAACTTTTATGTAAAGCATTTAAAATTTTTGTTTGAGAGAGAATGTTAACTTTTCTCTTTTTTCAGCTAATCCTTTTTGGGGAACGGGCTCGTTATCCTTCAATTACAATGTTTTTCCTAGTTTCAAAACGAAGAAAAACTCTTAAGCCGGGAATAATTGAGTTTGTCTAATGCTTGTATTATGAAAGAGTCTTTTCCAGAGTTTGAAAACAAAGATTTTTGATATAGTTTCTTGTAATACCAACATATCAGATTAACTTCTAGACTTTTACACATTTCACTAGAATAAAAAACATATAAAACACAGGAATCTAATCGAATTGAGATCTTTACAATGAAATAAAGAAAGAGAAAACACTCACAATCCCATTAACTTTTTTGAGGAAATATCTCAGAGACTCTCCTTCAGGGTCTCTCCTTTCTATTTTTTTCTTTCCGAACACACACGTGATTCTCTCATTCTCCTTACCCATTCAGCCATTCAAAAATCGTTTCACGGCTCGTTTTCTCAATGCCCACTGACTGCTTTCTTTTCCCTTTTGTCTCCATGACACCTATAGTCTTTGAGCATTTATTTAATGGTTTTCAGACTTAGTCTTCAACTAAAAGAAAAGAAAAACATTTGCAAAAATAGCAAAAGAAAAATGAAGCTATAAAGCTTAAGTCTCATTTTTTTAATGAATGGTTTGTGTGAATAACTGTAAATTCGTAACTGTAAATCTTTCTCTTTCATTTCCCCTAGACTGAAGTCATGATTGACACAAATTCTGGTTGAAATTGACGGCTGAAAATGACACGAAAAAGAGAATAACAAATTACTCTCGGTGAATAAAGAGTAGAGAAAGCTTTTTACAAGGGTACATGTGAATGTATTGCGGAGACATAGGAATGGAAAGGAGAGCTGTATCGGACAGAGAAAAGCCGAGGAAAGGGACGGGATATCCAATTCTTCGCCATGCATTGCCCACCCCGATTGGGAAAACACGGGAAAAAGCTGACAAACTTCCGAATTAATTGAAAACAAACACGGAGAAGGGGGATTTCGGGATTTCATCGAATTCTATCAAAGCTTTGTCAACTAGTAAACCAAAATGAATCATAGATAACATTTATTAGAGCTAGGGAGTTGTGGATTATTTTAACTTTCAAATTCCAAATAACACATAGTTTGGAAAAATTGTTTAATTGAATTTTTATGGTATTGTTTTTAACGTAAAAACTATGTCAATTATAAGATCTACTCAATAGTTTAACAAATTCGCGACGATACGGTTCACCGGTGAGCCGTACGTGGTTTCAGCACTTTTTTTGAGCCTGATTGGGCTGAAAATTGGCAATCAGGGGTTTTCGAGGATGAGGAATTCGAATCCGTTATTAGTTTCTAAAGAAAACTCCCCAATTTTGGATATTTAATTCGGTTTAATTACTCAAGTTTCCGAAAGTTTTGTGATGACTGTATTGGCTCGGAAATTAAAGTTGCTCAAAATCTAATAACGTATTCAGATTCTCCATCCTAGAATGCCTCCGGTTACAAATTTTCAGATCTACAGCTAAGATAGCTGTTTTCCAAAACGGTAGCCAAGCCGAAAATGACTTTGTTCTGAATGCACCAAGTTAACTTTACTCAAAGTTTTCAGCTTTTGTGGCAAAGAAAAGCTCCCGAGCCCCGGTACAAGTGGGTGGAGTGAAGAGGGGAAATGCTTTCATTTCATCAGAAGAATACCGAGAAGAAGATCAAATCGATCTGCATGGAATGTTAGCCGATTGGATTAAGACAAGGGTGAGTACAAGGAATACACTTTAGTTTTGAAAGATCAAATGAACATGTTTTCCAGGCTCGTCCCCACCATTTGCCTGTTCGATATCCAAGAAAAGTTGTCGAAGTGCATGTACGAGCTGATCTCTATCAGATTGTTGATTTGGTTGGAAGTTTTAAAAGTCTGACGCCTTACATAATGCCTTAAATTTTTTGAAATCATTTTTCAATTGGGGCTTTGGGATGGCGTTTTTTGTTTGTTTGAAGGGAAAATTTTTGCTTCGATGAACTCAAATTTCATTTGCTCCGACAAAAGTAAATTGGGCTTTTTCGAGGTTTTCACAAGAAAAACATCCTAGAGACGTCATTTGAACATCAAAAAGACATTTCAGAGAATGAAGTTGATGAGAAAATAGAAGATTAATCCGGAAAAGTGATCTAACTAAATCTAAATAAAACATTTCAACAGGTTTTATAAACGAACTATAGGATCAACGCTCAAATCTTGCCACAATCTCTGCTTATATTGATGCTTGGTGGATCGATGAGTACATAGGTTTTAGTTTTATTTTGTGCTTATCTATTTCTTCATTCATATTTATTCAATTAAATTTACTTAGGATGGAATGCGACTGATTTTGGTGGACTCAACCGGATATTTATCCCAATTCGATGGCTCTGGAAACCCGAATTTTACATGTATCACAGGTGAAAGATAAAGAAAGAACGAATGCTAATGTTGCTTTCCAGTGTCCAAGGAAGAACACCGGATTACGCTCCGGATGCTACGGCAGAGGTGCGTTTTAAAATATTGTCAAGTCATGACTCACTACAGTTTTCAGTAAGATGATTGTATTCATCAGTCTTAGGTTCGATGGGATGGTCGAGTGCGGATGTTTGTCCCAATCACAGCTCGATCACTTTGTCCTGTTAATGTCAAAATGATGCCTTTTGATGAGCAAAATTGCAATTTCTCGGTAAGTTCCCAATAATTTATTCATTCAAAACACAAAGAATAAAATAAAGCCAACAAAAATCGTAGCAAACGACAAATAACTAGGAGAAACCTTTGTCTCAACAGTGAATCCACTAAAAAGATCGAGACATTTCCTAGGTCCTTTAAAGTGATTTTTCTCTAAATAAGTAGATGATATATAACATATTTTTGTATCTTCACATGTATTTGTAACGTTTTGACAGAACCAAATCTTTGTAGAATTCCTACTTCCGCAAAAAGCTTCTTTAAGGGGAAGATTAAGGGGTAAATCCGAAAATTTGTTACTCAGCTCAAGTTGATTTCCCTGTACTATCGATTTATTGCAAAAGTTTTCAAAATTGAGTGAAAATGGGTGATCAGATTGGAGAGATCCTTTGGAAAGGAGAACTTTCGGCATTTCAATGGATTTCCCTTCTTGCGGGAGTTTTAGATTCGATGGCTCTATTCTTAACTTTAAAAGATCTGACGAAACATCCGTTGAATTTGGCTCAAAATTCGTGATCTCGATCATGAAATGTTCTTCAGTTAAATAGCGAAATGGTCGAATCTTTGTGTATTCAAAAGTGATTGCATAAATTCCATCTCCATCCAATTCCATCAAATAAGTTCCATTGGGGAAAGTTGGTTCACTAAAAACTTTACTCACAGTGCGCTGGAAAGGTTGTGTTTCTAATTTATAAGCACAAAGTACATCATGAAGCTATTTTTTGTATGAAATAATGACTCAATTCCCCACAAATTACCTATATTCTTGAATAAGTGGTTCACTCGACGTCGAGATGAGATTCTTTGCAATCAATTTCACTTTCTCCTCATCACTTTCACTCTCCGAATGAACTTTTGTATTCACAAATAATTGATGATCGATCATCTAAAAGTTTCTTTTATGATTTCTTAATCTTTTATGATATTATCGTAACCTCATATGATTGTAATTGTCGAACAAAAGTGGTAGCAGTTGTCCCTTTGATTTGATCGCATGTTTGATTGAAAGATCTTGAGAAATTTCGTCCCAAAACATTCATCAAATAGGTGACATCCCAACAAATTCTGAGTTTTTAAAATTTAAAACGTTTGTTTTTAAATCTAAACTCTCTGCACTTCAATGGCATGATATTTGCTTTGATTTGATGATTTCCATCAAGATCTTCGATTTCCAAACGATGATCCATCTGAAAAACTCTTGTTTCAATAGGCTATAGATTAAGCTATAGATCAAGATCAAGATCAAAAAAACTTGAAGTATCTTTTCCCATAAAACTCACAGCAATTTCAATAGTTATCCCCGTCGCCGAATCTTTCAACACAACGATTTCATCTGCACTTGTGTGCTCACATTTCACGAAAACATGAATCAACAATGATGATCCCTCGATTCTGAAAAGAATCTACAATCGTTGAACTATGATTGAAAGTTATTTGTCTTAAAATAGATCTTTAACAGAAAGATTAGTTTTTTCCTCATAAACTAACCTCTTTTCACTTAACCATTTCGCCGTCACAAATACCCCTTCCGTATTTTTCGATCCACTCTCGTCATTCCGATGAACGTAAATCTAAATTTTATCTGACATTATAAATATCTAAATAAATGTCTTCTGTTAGTAAACGCAATTTGTTATTCAGCAAGTAGTTTATTCGGCTCTTGCGTAGTCTCCGGGTATTTTGAACAGGGTTGTCACGCTTTGAAGGCCTATAACTTTGCCCAGGGATAATATTTTTGCTAACTTTTTATATTATTGTATAAAAGAACATTTCAGGATTTCAAATGGTACCAAATAAAACTTGATTGGACTTTTTATTCCAATCCCAACCAGACGACACAACGTTCGAGTTGGATAGACCTCATTTGCTCAGAGTTGGCTCTGATTTTCTTAGATTGAATTATCCAATCAAGCTTTATTTGGTATCATTTGAAAGCCTGAAATGTTCTCTGTACAATGATATAAAAAGTTAACTCTAATATTATCTCTGGACAAAGTTGTAGGCCTTCAAAGCGTGACGACTCGTTCAAAATACTCGGAAACTATGCAAGAGCCGTTTATTCTTTTAGAGTTATTGTTGAAATGATCCATGCCCTTATTTTCCGATTCGCATTGAATACCTGGCTGACCTCAACAATGGACAGCTGAGTGTAATTATTGAAAGTGAACATTTCAATAAATTCTTGCTAAAATATTTGCTAAAAGGTTTCAAAATCTTGCAAGCAATGCTGAAACTAACCTCAAACTTTGGATCAACAAATTCATTGGTTGAGTTTTGATCATTTCTTGGATTCGTCTTCACAATTCGTGTCTCATTGTGAAGCAATTTTTCGCCATTCACAAAATTCTCACTTTGCATATAGATACCATAATAATGATCGGGTTTCAAGAAAGGAATTGTATATCGACCTGCAAATAATCAATTTTGCGGAGTGGGACAAATGCGACCTTTTTTTTCCGCACCTTGCCCATTAGCGCACCTTTTTTTGCGTTTTAAAAAAGCTCTAAAAAGCTAATATTAACCAATTTCTATTCCAAATGTTGTTTTTCTAGGTAATTTGAGGGTGTCGAATTCAAATTTTGACATAACAGAGCGTGTGGAACCAATTTGAAAGACAAAACGGCTAGATCAAATTACAGAAAATTGTCGATTTTTCTCTTTGTATAACTCCGTCCGTTTGTTTCCACAAGGTCTGATATGTCAAAATTTCGATTCTACGCCCTAAAATTACCTAGAAAAACAACTTTTGGAATAGAAATTGGTTAATATTAGCTTTTAGAGGTTTTTTAAAACGCGAAAAATGGTGCGCTAATGGGCTAAGTGCGGCAAAAAAGGTGCGCAAATGTCCGGGTGCGCAAAAAAAAGGTCGCATTTCTCCCACTCCCCAATTTTGTTAGGTTTAAACAAGAAACCTCGATTGAGCAAAAGAAATAGTCCATGCAAAGAAATAAGAGGAAATATCCGTCGATCCTCTAAATCAGTCACTTCAATCTTAATTGTGAGTTGATCCGATGGACCTAAAACTTTTCATTTTTAATTTCCCCAAAATGACAAACCCTCTTTTGTTGTGTAAATGATTAATTGAGTGGGTGCAGTCTCGATATTAATTATTCGATCAATTCCCATTCTTTCATTGGTCTCATTTTTGTCTCTATTTGACACAGCGCAATGTAAATTGAAAAAGGAAATGAATAAAAGTGGCCATAACTGATCGATTCTTCGGAGAATCATAGGTGAAGCTGAAATCGTTTAAAGTAAACAAAAGAAGGCTACGTAGTCAAGTCAAGAGTACGATTATAAACAAATGAAAGCTATGATAAATAGAATAAGAAAGTATCTTAAATAAAACTATATGAATCTTTATGAAGGAAGTATTCACAAAATCTCAAAACAGCACGTGTCCAACCATGACCGGAAACAATTTTCACACCTTATGGGAAAAGGAAAGGGGTTAAAGCAGAGAATCTTTTAAAGAAACCTCTAAAGTTTTTTTGTTCCTTGAGTAACAGGAACAATGGTTCACGATTTTCGCATTTTTGAGAATAAATATGAATTCAACAAGTGCAAAGGAATGTAGTTTCTTTATTTGGAGCTTGCAACTTGAAAAGAAAATGATTTTCGAACCTTTCGCAATGAAAAATAGTTACACTAAAAAGGCCAACTTTAATTGTGAGTTAAAGTTAACTTACAGCTTACAGCTTACAAGCTTTACCGCAAGAGTTAAACTCTTCTGTAAAAGTTTGGCCATGTATTATAATAATTCTAAAAAGCTAGTAGTCCCACAATTTCCTTTCCATTGCCCACATAGGAACGATTACGCCTGAATGAACATTTAACCAAAAAGAAGGAGAACTTCGTTCGCTTTTTATGACAAAGATTTTTTTCTGTGAGTGAGTCTTTAAAGAAATCTCTATTAGCTGGCTGGGTACTTGACAATGATCGATGAAGCTTTATGAATTACAAAATGCAGTGGATAAAATGTTATAACTCTTTAAATAGGTAGTAAAAGAGAATCCTCATCAAAATTCCTAGTGTGGTTCATGGACATATCAATCGGATGTCGTGCGTTTGATGGTGGAGAATGAGAATCAAGAAATGCTGCTTGGAGACTTTTATGATAATCAAGTGGGTAAAAGAGCTAAAAATTTAGTTTACTAAAATAAATTTTAAAAAACTCTCACTTTCAGGAGTGGTTATTAACGGGAGCTTTTCTATCAAATGGAACAATCCGTCATATCGACAATGAATCATTCTCAATGATAATTCTGAATGTTCAATTGAAAAGACAAAGTTTCTATTATGTTTTCAATCTCGTTTTTCCGACAACATTGGTTGGTTCAATAATTTAATCAAGATCTTGCATTTTCTTAGGTTTCACTGGTGGCTGTGATTGGTTTTCATGCTCCGATCAATGCAACAGGAAGAAGGGAAAGCAAATTTCGATTGGGTAAGTTTGACTGAAAGTAGATTTGTTCAATGCAAGGCAACAGATATCTAGTTTTAGAACTGTGAATGCGACCAGATTCTATTACCTATTTTTTTCCAGGAATCATGACTCTTCTATCAATGTCGGTGATGCTATTGATGTTGGTGGGTGAGATGAAATTCGCAATGGAGAGTGTACCTGGACAACGAGGATCTTTCTCAGATGTTCCTTTGTTAGGTAAAACAATTAAATAAGTGTATAATTTGAATAATGATAAAGATAAAGTACTAAATAAATGATAAGGATAAAGAATAAAGTACTAAAAACTCTTAGGTATATACTACATGACATTGATTTTGATTGTTGGAGTCGCTACATGCACTACATCAATTTTTGTTCATTTGGAGAAATATGCGATGAGGAATCCGACTGTTCAAGTAGATTTTCGCATGAAATCGAATAAAAAGAAATAAATTTGTGTCTAAAATCATTTGAACATTAGGCTGTGCCGTCTTGTCTTCGATTTCTGATGGCTAAAAAGCTTTTCTTTTGTTACGTTCCAAAGAATTTTCGATTCTATCCAAAAGTGAGTTTTTCTTTAGAAAGTATGCATGGAGTAAATCAAATAAATCGAATAAATTATACAGATCTTATTTACTCAGGGAGATGATATCAGTCGAAACAATAATGTGAGCGCTTTCAGTCGACATTCAACACCCGAGAATACACTCATGAGAAATCTGATTCCAAAAGAGGTTAATAATAAAAAGTAACTCATAATGTAGATGTAGGCTTATCAGATCTCCCATTTGGATCTCTTTTCCCTTCAGCTTCCCTTTCTTATTATTTAACTAGTTTAACAATCGAATACATTCAGGTGAACTTCACAGAAGTGAATCAAGATCAACCAATAACAAGTGAAGTTCTATTAGATGGTTTGTTCTATTAGATGGTTTCACAAGCAGTATTTCAATTCAAACCAAAAGCACCCCATTTCCAGGACCAGCCCAATCAAGACAACGTCTCGATATAATCATTCAATTGATTCGAGAGATTATTCAAATGAAAGTAAGTTATCAATGTTATCAAATAAGAAAGATTATATTTAATGAATGGTAACAATTTCGAGATCTACTTTACAAGTAATTTTCAGGAGTCGATGCGTTCTCGTGGTTCTCTAACGGGTTTTTGGGAACGAATCATTCGTCGACTTGAATCTTTTTCTATCACATTTTATCTTTTATTAATGAGTATCAATCTTTTTCTTTTTCTTTGCCCAGAGTTGTGGTACGGTTCGTAAGAAAAATTCTATGAAAAATCGACGGTAGTGATGGTCAAAGCATTTCTACTCAATCTAACTACAGGGTCATATGAACGCCCACATTTACTTTAAATCATTGTTGTTTTTTCTTCCATTCACAGAGTTGATAGAAATTCTTGTCATTTGTTATTTTATCAGATCTCCCATTTTTGATCTCTCTTCCCTTCAATTTCCCTTTCTCATTATTTCCCATTTCCCCGATGACCAACATTGAAGCTTTTTTTCCTTTCAATAATTGTGATACATTGCTCAGATTCTCTGCAAATATTTTTCATATTTTTTTACAGAGAATAAAGTATAGACAAGTATATTATTACGGCAGCGAAGTTTTGTGGAATATCCAGTTCTGCAAGAAGAGAACGACACATTGAAGTTGAGATAGGTGAAAGTTCAAAAAAATGAATATCTCACTATACATCACATATTTTAAAACAGATCAAATCAGAGAATTCATTAGTGCATGTAAATTTAATCAAATACACCGCCAGAAAAGTTTCAAGTTTCCGCGTGAGTTACTAGCTGAGTTCTCTCAAGCGTATGCAGCAATGATATTATTCGGAAAATCCTTGCTTTTTGCTCTTAACACTTTCGTTTTTGAAATCCATAGCATCAAATTTTTTTGCTAAAATTTTCCACGCTTACTTAGGGTTTCCACAGTTTTTCTGCTCTTTTCTTATCTTCTCTCCAAATCCAAATTAAAGTTTTTCTATCGGTTTTCCAGGTTTAATCACCGAAGTTTGAGGTATCGACGTGGAAGACGGCTAATTCTGATGAGGAATCTCGTACGCCATCTATACCACCCACTTCCGCTAGTGATTGAAACAGTGAAGCTACCCCGTTCTTCGAAGCTCGAAAACAACTACCACGCAGTGATTGAGGGATTGCCTGAAGCTGATGTCCATCCTACCATATCACCGTATCCTAGAAGAGCAGCCGATCGTCATCTTTTGGATACGATTATGGCTTCGTACGGCTTAGACGCAATCGTGATTCAACCATAAAGGGTGGGTATCTTCGTTTCAACCTAGGCCTCCAAAGGTGATTTTTGGCTCTGTACAGGGTTCCTTTCATCGTGTTAAGAAGGATTTTCTGCTCTGGTACGCTCGACTCATTGTGATTCGACGCTCGGACCCAAGTTGCTGCAAGAACAAGAAGCAAGAAACAATTCCTTTAACTCAACATAGCCTTCTTCCACACCTTGACGTGAGTACTACAAAGAATGTGCATCAAAACCAAGCTGGATCCGTAGTTGATGTCAATGTGAGTGCTTCTGGAGCGATTGTTAATGTGACTGTGCAAAAGGATTCGCCAAAGAAAATCGTGCCGACAAACTCCACAAAAAAGCCTCCAGCTAGAGCGGTCGACCTCCGATGACGATCAACTCTACGAAGATTAACTTCTCTGGGATTTGCAAGGCACACTACATGTCTGATGTGAACGAGCCATTAGCAAAAGATTTTCGAGATTAAAGAGAAGACGATAGGGACCTCTTCTTCACCCACCTATCGGAACGAAGGATTGAAAAGAAGTCCATCAAGCAACAAAGTCAACCAATCTCGCTTTCTACACAGAATGAATTCCCTGGATCGTCTTCCCACGTTTAATTCTTTTCCCTTTAGCCTTAGTTTTTCCCGTAGCCTAGTTTCTAATATCAATAATCGTCTTAATACTTTTCAAGTTATGACTCGCACAAAATCTTATTCTTTTTGATATTACTGAAACGTGGCTAAATGATTGATGATCCTCTTCGATTCTTGATTAGAGTGGGTTCTTCTCAAGTAATGACTTTCTATAACGTGCCCTTCAAAGGCACAAGCTCAAGATATTCAGTTAACAACAATGAATATTTTAAGATCTCGCCGTTGAAGCCGTTATAGAAAGCCATTACTTGAGAAGAACACACGCTATTCTTAATCCTTGCGATTATTATGATGTGTTTAGATGTGACAGATCTTCTTCAATCAAATCACATGGTGGTGATGCTATTTTTATGCTTTTAAAATCATTCAACCACCATTTGGTTTGTATTGGATCTATATTCAATTCTGAAATAGTGGTTGTAGACGTTATTTAGATAGAAAGCTTTTCCAGGGATTTTGCTTACACAAAGCTGTCAATAATTTTATGATTCGTATTTTTTTCAAAAATTGTCTTTACAACAAAACTTCGACGTTGAGGACACTCATCGTTTCACTCTCAAAAAAGTACTCCGCAAATTTTAGCGCTTAAATTTTTGTCTTGGTTAGTAAAAGTTCAAGTGTCCAACGCTTGTTTAAAAACCTTTTTGTCACTCTTAAAATTCTTGCTTACCTTCTTGCTTACCGTTTCCTTTCTGTCAATCTATACAGAAAAAGTTGTGGATTGGATTCTTTTGATAAATCTTTTGATAAAGGTTTTGTCAAAACTCAAAGATGATTTCGTGAATATTTCGAGTGCAGTTATCAAATGGACCTTCAGCTGGGATAAAAGGATCACAGGAGAGATTAAAGAAATAAAAAACGATGGAGAAAAGCGGTCAGAATCGACCTTTCTGACAGTTCGGAGAGGCTGATGAGCGATGAGCCAAAGTAAACAAAAATGGATCTCTTTTTGAGAAAAAGAGAGAGACAAAAAAGAGGAGTGAATCCCCGAGAATCTCCAAAAATTTCCCGTCATCCTTTTTCTCCCTCCAATCTCTTCTATAATCTTTTTGAATCCCTTTCCTAAAAATGTTATTTTCAGCTTGGTCTTTGTTTGGATGTTCGCTTATGGAAGGATTCGACACGCTTAATCTTAAAAGCTCTAACTATTCTTTTCTCTTTTCAAGGTTTTTCTTACATAGACTTTCTAACGGTCACGAAAAAGCTAATAATGATCAACGATTGTTTTGTGAAATCAAATCTCATTTCCATTCTTTTTCTCCCCTCAATAACGTGCCGCAGCTACCGGACCTCGCCTTCGCGCCAACAAAGCGAGTATATAAAAGGGGCTTCTGAGTTCATTTTTCATTGCAAAAATCAAAATTTAGTCATAAATTTGATTCTTTTATGTTTTCAAGGTATTTACCTTATTTATTACTTGAAGTAGTGATAAGAAAGTTGGGTTCTTCTTCTTCTTCTTCTTCTCGGAGATGGTATCAGACCTACCTACTAGTTTATCATCTAGTTAGCACAAGTTGTTAATTTCACATCTATATTCTCCAACAGTGTTCGGTGATTTCGAAAATCTTTTTTCAGGTTGAACTATCCTTTCTCAGAATCTTGTAAGACATAGGGTACTGAAGCTATGCGTTAACATCTTTCCTAGCCCTTCCCTTACTATAAAGCTTGGGAAGTGTGAACCTCTTCGCACCTTTTCACAAAAAGAACGGAATAGAACGTTTAGAGGTTTCTCTTTGCCTATCGATTCGTGGATTTAAAGAGTTTTCACCTTGAATTCCTCTGTTTGAGTTCGTTTTATCCGTTTCGGATCTTATTCATCAGTCCAGTTGATCTTTTGAAACTCCGTATGTAATCAATCACCAAACTATTGGAGAATATCGATATTGAAAAGAATCGAATTGACTTTTGGTGTTTTGCTCATGATAGCATAACATTATCGTTGAAAATTGAAGCAGCTTCGAACACTTTTTCGCAAAAACTATCAAACAATCATTTTCTTGCGTCCATTTTTCAACTTTAATTGCTCTTCTCTCTATTCGGGTCGACTTGTGAAAAACTCGACAATTTTCTCTAAAAGAAAAAAAAGCAACGAGATCTCACAAGTCAATGGAGCAATGAAAGAATAAAGCATCTGCTTTCATCTGCTTTTCTTTCAATGTTTATCTTTTCACAAACTTCAACCATTCGGTCTCATTTTCCTTTGCTCTTGCAGTTTGATTATTTCAAGAATTTCTCAAAGGTTTTTATCTTTCAAATAAGATTTTCAGTTCACTAAATACTGTCTCAAACTGTCAAGAGTTAGTATGTGAATGAAAAGCTTGCATATTTCAGGAATAATTAGCCACCTCAGCAAGTTGGCCTTTCCTTGGAGCTCGTGTTATGACCTGATTCAGAGATTTATTCCTGAGTTTTGATGGCCAAGCTCGAAAGTACAATCCTCCAAATATTTGCCTTTTTCACTGAGCCTTATATCGGATTATAAATGAAAAGCTTATAATCATTTATCTTTTTCCCTTTTCCCCTTTCCCGCTTCATTTTCTTCTTATTCAGTAGTTGGGAGCTTATGTCTAAGCCTTCCATCTTTTTTCCCACTGATAAGCTTCTGTTCTCGAAAAAAGGATAGATTTTTTGGATTTCCTGTTTCGCCAAAATGTCAGATGACAAAGAGGTACAAAAAGTTTACCCTAATTTATGTTATTTGAAACATTTCACCAAAAAATTCTTTTTCAAATGAGCCTAAAGGTTCTTTCAATCTCCAAGGAATTGCTAATTGGTTTCTTAGAATTTTCTGTCGCCATTTTTTTTGGCAATTAAAAAACTGAGTAATTCTACCTACAAGAATTTGAAAATAGAAATAAAAGCGCAATTTCCTTCTTTCTTGAGCTCGGTCCTCTCTGCTCATTCTCATTAAACTTTCTATTTAAAGATCGAAACTTTGGTTTGGTTTATTTACTAGTTGAAGAGCACACTTAGTGATTCAGGAAATTGAATTACCAAAGTTCAACTGAAAAAAGAATTGAGTTTTTGAATTTTTTGAATTTTTGATCGCATCGATGCAGGCTCAATACAAAAAAGGATAAACAAAGCATCCGTTGATTTAAAATTTGAAAAGTTTACTTTCCTGTGGAACACCTTGCTAAACCAAAATCAGAAAAATCAAGCCTAAATGAATGTGACGGGTTCAAGAGTCACAAGCACCTCTCTTTCCTTTTTCTTTCAAAGGCGCGTTAAGTCCTCTCCGAAATTGGGTTTTGATTAGAGGAGTTTTTTTCAAAAAAGGAGAATGACAAGTTTAATCTTTGAGGATCTTTGAAATTGAAGGAGAAAAAGTTTAAA